TCCCATGTGTTTGTTTCAAGTCCATTTCCGTTCCCATGGTGATCAGGGACTTGGAGAAGCAAACAGAGCTGGGAAGGAGGGAAGCTCCATCCGGGAAAGGAGTGGACAGCAGCAGGCACTGGGGAGACATCTTCCTCTCATCCATCCCAGATCTCATCCAGCCCTGCTGAGGATATCACATCTGCTTTTATTTCCCCAGGCACTGTGCCATGTCCATCCACTGGGACCCTGACTCTGCAGGCCAAGCTTCTATAAATCCGTGGGTTGTGGGGGCCATCGGGTCACTCCGGGCTTCCTCTGTGGTGACGTCATAGTGTGGTAGTGAGGGGGAGGAGGAGGCTGTGGGTAGAGCTCCAGCAACTTTAGCTCTGCGTTGAGGATGTCATTTCCCACCCACAGTGTGTTCCTGAGAAGGGCAGAGTCCGCTCAGTAACGTTTGGACATGCAAAAAATACCCAATCTTCCAGTTAGAAATTTCCATGCAGATAAGCATGTTCAAAACCAGGTGGCCTGAGTTTCAGGGATGTCTTGGATGCCGCCAGCTAGGTGAAGGAAGTTGTAGGAAGACAGAGCCAGGGAGGGGAGGCAGGAAGACAAAGGAAGGTGCAGTATAAGGATGCGCACATGCCCTGTTCTGAAGGCCCATAGAAACACATTGGATAGGCAATCCCCACCCTCCCAGAGCACTTTGCTCCGCATTTCCTGCCCTGAATGCCCCTCTCTCTTCTTCTCAAGTACTGTGGGCTGCAGTAGGCTGGCAGGCCCGGGGGGGGGGGGGGGGAGGAAGACCATTTTGTGTCCTTCAGGAAGTGTTCTGGGTTATCAAAGTCATTGTGAGCCTCATCTCCAACACAGGGTTGTCGGCAGGAAACTCGGGATAAATGTGGACAGAATTGCCTGGCACTGAGTAAGGATTCATTTTCACATGCATTTTTTACTCTCCCCTTGGTAAATAGCTTTTCTGTCTCTTACTGATGAGCTGGTATTCCTCAGCTGCTCTTTAGCTCTCTGCCCATGACATCCATTTAGATGTTTTAATTTTCTTTTATGAAGGTCTTTCCCCAGGCAGTTTAGCCGTGGACAGGGCTCCACTGGCCATAAGTGCATCGAAACAGTATTGTTTTGAGTCAGCTTCTCCCTTTTCCCTGGTTTCATTGCTTTTTCTTACCCTGGAACATCTTTGAATTTCAGGGGCAGGAGGGCTTCAAGGATATAATTGCCCTGTGGGATAGCACTCTATCCCTTGAGCCACAGCTCCACTTCCAGCTTTTTGGTGGTTCATTGGAGATAAGAGTCTTATGGACTTTTCCTGCCCGGGCTGGCTTCAAACTGCGATCCTCAGCCTCCTGAGTAGCTAGGATTATGATGTGAGCCATCAGCACCTGGCCAATTGTTAGAATTTTCAGAGAAGAACCTCTATTTTACTCACAACTTGAATCATAATTACTTGAAACATCAGGAGTCACATTTGTTCAGAAGGTTCGTGTGAGCCCTGGATGTAGAGAGACTGGCTGTGATGGGAAGATGGTGGAACCACTCTGGCTCTGATTACCTGTGGTGGGGACACTCACCAACCAAGGGGGAAAGGCCATCTAAGAGAAATAGATCTGTAACTCTGCTCACACTCAGTCTCCTGTGTGGCATCCACTAATTCCATTAGCCAGAATACCCTGCTCTTATATACAGAAAGGGAGAAATATATCTAACAGTGGGTGAACCTACCTCCTACACCTGAATTAAAAGTCAAAAGAACAAATACTTTTACTATAAAATATTTTTAACTCAAATTTTGGTTTAAAAAAGAAAAAAAAAAACAAACAGAAGTGGTGCTGTGGCTCAAAGTGGTAGAGTGCTAACCTTGAGCACATAGAAGTTCCCAGGCCCTGAGTTCAACCTCCACAACTGACAGAAAAAAGAAGAAAAAGAAAAAGAAGCAACACTAGGAATAAGTAATTCAGAGAAAAGGAAATAACCAAAACAGTAAGCAGAAGCATATAAATATTTACTCTCACTGCAAAATCAAAGGCATGAGAGTCAAGATTACTACTTTGTGCCTACAAAATTAAAAACATCCCTGGAAGCTTCCCCTGCTGGCTGGATGGATGTAGTGTGCACAGGCCATCATCACATGGCTGGTGGGCTTTTGAACTGGAACAGTTTTCCTCTAGAGCCATGTGACCAAATGTGGCAAGAGCTCCCACAAACCATTCACACCCCGCTGAGCAAGCATTTCCCCTCCCAGGAAGCTCTCCTCCAGGGAGCCACCAGACATGTGGGCAGGGATTTATGGAAAGATGGTATTTTTAATTTAACACTACCCAAATGGCTTACTGTTCAGGGGAACTATAAGATGGGGTGATAGGCTGAGATAAAATTGTGTGCCTTGAAGAATATGAAGTGACATAAGGAAAATTCTCAAGATATCATAGCACAGCCTCGACTTCCCAACATGGAGAAAATGCACACATGAGATAGAAGGAGAGAGAGGAAGGAAGGAAGGGAGGGGGGATGGAGGGAGGGAGGGAAGGAAGGAAGGAAGGAAGGAAACAAGAAAACTAGGCTGAAGCAGGAGATTCACCCCCGTGCTCCTGGTTACTCAAGAGGGTGAAATCTGAAGGATCAAGGTTCAAAGCCAGCCTGGGTGGAGGAGTCCCTGAGACTCCATCTCTAACCAGCAAAAAACTGGGCTGGAGGTGTGGCTCAATTGGTAGAGGACTCAAACTGAAAGAGTAAAGCCCTGAGTTCAAGACCTAATATCACTAAATACATATATACATACACACATATACATACACTCTTACATATTAAGAGAAAATGTACCAAAATGTTGTGCAGCAATCTCTGTAATTGGTAGGATTACAAGTGACATTTATGTTCTTTCTCACACATGGCCAGAGTTCTCCCACTTGAGCCACACCTACTACCTCCACTGATTGATTAAATATGAGTCTCTTGGATTTGTCTGCCTGTTCTGGCTTCAAACTGTGATCCTCAGATCTCAGCCTGTTTTACTTGAGTATTGGATTCTGCTTGTCAGTTTTCTGATTTGGCGAGGACACATCATAAGAATCTTAACACTATTATGGGGATTAAGAAGTCAATGGGCTGTCGGGGCGAATCTGTGTTAAATAAATATGTAGACCGAGACATTCTCTGTGTAGATCAACACTGCAAAAGTTCAGCCTGTGTTCCTGGTGTTTCAATGCTCGTGTTGATTAAAAAGTGTTAGAGAAAAGGAGAATAGTGGTGCTTCTTGAAGCTACTAACCCTAAATATCTATCCACACAGCCTGTGTTTATTTTGATGGCACTGGGGTTTTGAACTCGAGGCTTAGCACTTGTTTAGGCAGGCAGTCTACCATTTGAGCTATGCCTTTTTGTTCTGATTATTTTGGAGATAGGGTCTTGTGTTTTGCCTGACCAGACCTGAGCTGCAATCCTCCTATTCACATTCCCCAAAGAGCTGGGATGACAAGCGTGCATCACCACACCTAGTTGAGTGGTTGAAATTGGGTCATGTGAACTTTTTGCCTGGGCTGGCATTGAACCATACCTCTCCTGATCACTCCTTCCAGAGTAGCTCAGATTACAGATGTGAGCCAGTAGTGCCCACCCCTGGCACACGTGATTTTTAAATCCTGCAGGATGTTCTAATGCAGCCTGTCAAAACTAGAATTTGAGAACTGATGGATGGTCTAATATGATATTCGCCAGTCCCGGTGACTGTGGAGTTGTTGAAATGAGGCCAGATTGATTGGAGAACTGAATTAATTAATTCGTTAATTAACTATTGGATTTAAATGCAAACAGCCACCTGTGATGCATAACTGTCACATGAGGCAGAGCAGCCTTCCCCTGCTGCCCTTCTAGCTCTGGCACAGGTCCGCTTTCTGACAGTCCACAGAAGTACCTCTCACTGGGACCAGGGGTAAGAGGAGCCACCTCAGGCCACAGGTCGGCGTTCATAATATCATTTACTCTGTTTCTCTACCTTCCTGCTCAGAGCACAAACTGGTCCTTCTCAGGGCCTCTGTGATAATACAGAGCACAAACCCCCGGTCTTACTCAGCCCAAGAGCTCTTAACTCATTTGTTAAGGGGAGAGGGAACTTGTTTTATTTTTAACTAAGGAACTCATTTCTGATCTTCTCCCCTGTTGTTTGAAGGGTTTAAAAGTTCAGCATGGTGAGTTTTTATAGAGCTTTTAATGGGATGCAGAGTATTATAAACTTACCCAAATGATCACTGTAGCATCGTTCATTTCCCAAGCCCTTTTGCTTGTCATGCCGATCTGATTTCTCTTCAGAATAGGAGGCAGATGGCGCAAAAGGCAGACATACCAGATGGGACCAAAGACATTCATTTCAGGGTTCCTCACATCCCAAGCTTGGGGAGAGGGGCTAAGTCCTGAGTGGATGCAGTAGATCCTGGCCATTCTGCTGGAAGCGGAATGCAGGCCGGCATGGTGTGTGTCCTGGGCCGGGCTCTGTTCCAGTTCTTTGCTATGGCATCTGCCGCTCACAGAGACCTGCACATGTGGCCAGAGGTGTTCATTTTTCCACCAGAGGAGATGTGGGCTGAGTGCATAGGGAAAGGGATAGAAGGCAGGATCTGGAGGAAAGCCACATTTGGGTTCTGAGAGATAAGTTCAAGGAGGCAGCATGTGCCCCCCATAATTTATCCTCCTCTCCCCCTTCTCCGGATGAGAAGAAAGAGTAGTGTACCCAGGAATCGAATTCTCTCCTCCCAAAGATCATTCAGCACTGCGGCCATGATCACCTAGACTGGCGATTATCAAGGGCTCTGAAAAATTCAAATGGGAGACAGAAGACTGGTTTAATTTCTGTGTTTAATAATTCACATGCTGTGGGCTCTACCCCCATTTATTTATTTTTTTCATCTAATGTTACATCCTAGGAACCAGCAGGCTGAGCTGTCTGTAGTTGCGTTGTGCCCACCTCGCTTACAGCTTCTTTTTTTTTTTATTTTCTTGAAATTTTAGGCACAGAAAAATGAGAGAGAGTCTATCAGACAGAAGTTGGCCCTCGGAAGCTTCTTTGACGATGGCCCAGGAATTTATACCAGCTGTAGCAAAAGTGGGAAGCCAAGCCTCTCCTCTCGGTGAGTGCTCCTTTGAGTTGATCCTCTGATAACGTACGTAGTGAATTTGTCACCGGATGATCTGACCAAACCTATCTTTTGAGACCTTGGGTGGCTGTATTTCCACAGTGCCACCATTTTTAGATTTCAAAACTCCCTTGTTAGTTTATTGGTAGCTCATCGCCATGAACAACTGAGCTACTTGAGCTCAGGATTTTCTGTCTCATTTTTCTTTAGATAAAATACTGATTTGTCAGACTGAGAGGGGAACACAGTGCACTCCTAAGCAAGCTGGTGTTTGGTATAGGTGACAGAACACCAGATTTCCCATTGAGCAGTTAGTGTCAAAGCAGTCAAGATCAAGCTCATCCTCTGGTTCACCTGTTCGCAGTGCAAACCAATACTGTGAAGAATAGTTTCTGAGTTGGTTATTTAGTGCTTGTTACTCCTCTCCGCCTGCTCTGCAGATAGCTTTGTGTCACCCTTGTTGAGTTCAAAATATCATTACTCATTCATCACAGTTTATTTTAGGAAGTTATTGGTCATTTGCATAGCTTCCTATTTTAACTAAAATACAAGAAGATGATAATAGATAATATTCTGTAGAAAATGGGGCTGTGGACCAGACCTTCTCCACCTTCCCTGTGCTCACGAGTCACTGCGGATTTTGCCAAAATTTCTTTCAGTCTGTCTCCAGGAGCTCAAAGTTCTGCATTTCTAAGAAACTTCCAGCTAATGTCTGTGCTGCCAATGCCACAGACTACGCTGATGAATGAAGAGAGATAAAGCGCAAAAGTTTGAGTATAGGTTTTCCAAGTGATGAAAACACACTGATCCCCTCATCTCTCCCTGCCCTTCTGCTTGGTTCCAACTTCTTTTAAGCTAAAAGCAAATATGCCCTTGTAAATACTGCGTATGTCACCAAGTTAAACCAGGTGCTGGAGACAGATGACAGTACTGGTGCATTCGTTCAGCTCCATCTAGAAACTCCATCTGTCATTCAGCAAGTCATCTCCACCTAATACAAATGAGAGAGTATTGTTTAAAAATCAAGAATGAGTGTGTGTGTGTGTGTGTGTGTGTGTGTGTGTGTGTGTGTGTGTGTGTGTGTGTGTGTTCATTCCGCTCTCCTTGGCTGTGCTTCTCATATTTACCTACATATCCCTAAAAAAATAAAATAAAAAGCTTATCCGTTCTTATTTTAAATAACCATCTATTGACTATCCACTATAGAAAATTAGGATTTATTTTTTATTTACAGCGCTCTCACAATATTCTTCTCTCCCATTCTCCCTTTGTAGTATCGCAATATTTAAACTCAACTTACTAGTCAGTGTTTATGTGACTAAAATAATGGTGTCATTTTGTGCCGGTACTGGGGCTTGAACTCAGGGTCTTGAATTGCTTTGCTTTCTGGCTCAAAGCTAGCATCCTACCACTTGAGCCACAACTCAACGTCTGACTTTTTGCGGGTTAATTGAAGATAAGCATCTCGTGGACTTTTCTGCCCAGGCTGTGAGAACCAGGAGTCTCCAATCTCAACCTCCTGAGTAGCTGGGGTTACAGGAGTGAGCTACCAGTGCTAGCCTAGTTTAAAAGTAATATATTGTTTTTACTGAATCATACAACACACTATGGTTCCTTGGGAAAGTTTGTTGTTGGTCATAAAAGGTAGAGTAGCCTCCTTTTTCCTTTGGCCAGTGCTTGTTTTTGACTGCTCTGATCTATTTCACTAAATATAATTGCCAGTTTGTTTACTTTTCTTGTGGGGGGATGGGGTTGTTTGGACGTCTTTGAGCTTGCACACGATGTTGCTCACAAACACTTTGTACATGTGGCCTTGCTGTACTGTGCTACTCTTCTCTTTGATGTGTGATCTTCTGTGAAATGTCTGTTTAAGTCTTATGTTCTGTTCTGTTTTTCTGGTGTTCTGTCACAGTTTTTGATCTTTAATATGCACATATTACAATCTTACCAGGCTATTGCTCGGTATTTGCTTCCTTCCTATGGGCTTTATAAGAAGCCATAGGTCTTGATCTTAATGTAGGTGATTCTATTGAACTTTCCTTAACTCAGCACTGTCTGTAATTGGGTGTTAGAAATCTTCTATGTAGATATTCACTGTGTTTCCTACTAATGGAAAAAAAGACTGTCATCAATCAGGATTTGAAGTTTTAATAGTTGGTATTATTATTATATCTTAAATTCTCTTTAAAGTTTTCTCATTGCTGCTGATATAGTCTAGAAATCTAATTTTTTTCCTTGTAGACAGCCATTTTATTGAGTTTACTGAGCAATCTTTTATCCCGTCTGACACACTACTATTGCAAATGCTGCCTATTGATGGCAATACGTTCTATTGCATTCATAATTATTTCTATTCCCAAACTATTGTCTTAACTATAGCCTCTTCTCTTAACAGAGAGAAATAAATCAGGTACTTTATTAAATAAGTCATGATGTATTATGAACATGCAAATCTCTCTCCTTACTCTTTGCTTCACTAAGAAAATTAATACTTCCAGTGCAAAGACAAAATGCTACCTTGTCTTTTTATTCCTCCATATAAAGTTGAGCAAAATGCTTTCTTCTAGAATCTCATAGATTTTTGATCAACTGAGGGAGAATTACATTTCCAATGTAAGTCCTCGTACTCCTGATCATAGTCTGTCTTCCCATTTTTTTTTATTGTGAAAATACTGTACAGAGGGGTTACAATTACATGGGCAGGATAATGAGTGCATTTCTTATCAAGCATTGTAGCCTCCTCCTTTGTTTCCCCTTCCCATCCCATCCTCCCCCCCCCCCCCCCCCCCGTCCCCCGACCCAACCCTCCTCCCCCGAACCAAAGTTGTAAAGTTTGTTTTTTGACATAATGACTTGTACATCTCATTGTTGCAATGGCTCCACATGTATCCCTATTTAAACGATTTGTTTTTTCCCTTCCCCTGCACAAATTATAACAACATCAAATACAGTGAAAGCAGGGGTTATACTGTGGGGGAGGGACATACAAAGCAACAAAGAAATCATCTTATAAATGTGTTAGAAACAATCGCATGAAAGAAAAAAACATTTGAATACATATCTTAGGGTTCCTTTCCCTAACATCAACTTATCTGACCTTTTCTGCTTGACTCAGACATATACTATTTATTACAAATAAGGGAAACCATGGGACCTATGTTTCTTTGGGCCTGGCTTACTTCACTTAATATAATTTTTTCCAAGTCTTTCCATTTTTTAACAAATGGGGCAATGTCATTCTTTCTGATGGAGGCATAGAATTCCATTGTGTATATATACCACATTTTCTTGATCCATTCATCTACTGAGGGGCATCTGGGTTGGCTGTCTTCCCATTTATTCAGCTCTAGCTGAGTATCTTTAATAAGGTTTACATTGCCACTTAGAAATGTTGTATGTCTTTTGTCATTTTTATTTTTACATGATTGATATTATTATATCTTAAAAATTCTCCTTGATAAAGTTTTCTCACTGCTACTAGCACAGAAATTCACTTAACTTTATGATTCCAGCCAGTTCGTTTTTTCTGCTCTCATTTCACAATTCTATAATTTATAATCAGGTTCTCTGTTCACTCCCAAAAAATCTTTAGGATTTTTAAGCCATAATATTATCCATAATATAAACAGCTTACTTATTACTTCCCAATGCTCATGATACCCCTGGCTTCTTGGGCTCAGCTTTTATATTAAATGGAATGTTTTTCTATACCCTTACTTAGGATGATGTTGGTTTTATGTTTTATTTCATTATTCTTCTTATGAGATTAATGATGTTTCTTTCCATTCATAATTTTCAAAAATCTTATCACATACCTTCATGTCAGGATGGTTTTTATCATTTTATTCTACTATTATTATTCTGCCTTGTTAGTGAAGTAATGAGTTACATTTATGGACTTTAAAGATATTGAACCATCCTTGCATACTTCATATGTACACATATGGTTGTGAGGGGATTCCCTTTTTCTTTTAGACTCTTCAATTTTTTTATAATGTCTTGCTGAGAAGCGCTACACTTGAATTCATGATTGACAGATCTCTGTCATATTCTTGTGACCTTTTCATCTTAGCATTCAAGTTCTCTTGCTTAATAATGTGTCTGGAATTATACCATCTTTCCTATTATCCAAAGTAAGTCTCATAATATTGGAATGATCCATTACTATAGAGCTTGATAGGACTCACCTGTACTTTCCATGTCATTCACTTCGTGTATTTTCCTTGACAAATGCTTCCATTTCTTCAGTGGTTATGGGAATATGTCCGCTTTTTATTTCTTCTTGAATTAGTTCTCCTATCAATCTATGTCACTATCTATCTATCTATATCTATATCTATATACAGATACATACAGACCATGGAAAATTAGCTATAAAGAAAAATGAAATTAGGTTATTTGCAAGAAAATGGATAGAATTGAACCTCATCATGTTAAGTGAGATACAGCCAAGCTTAAAAAGCCAAATATATGTTCTGGCTCACTTATAGAGTATAGACCTAAGATGGTAATGATGATAATGGTGTGTGTGTGTGTGTGTGTATGCACGCGCGCGTATTTGTACATATATGGTATACTACACTGTATACTATGTGTATATACGTATGTATCCATACGTACACACACATACATTCATACTTATGAATGTAGCATAGTGAAGCCTACCAAATACTATTTGAAAAAGAGAGGAGGAAGGAGAAATGAGAATGAGGTGGAAGGGGTGAATTTTTTCAAAGCACACTTGAGTGCATATATGGAAATGTCACCATGAAACCCCCTCATACTCCAAATGTATAGTCACTCAATAAATAGACATGCAGAGACCCCATCTGGAAAGCAAAGCAGTCCTCCTCTGAGTGAGATTCCAAAAGGCCCCTACCCATATGCCCCTCTGCTGTCCCCCTCCCTCACTGTCCTTCCCACACCTCCCCCTCGGTGCCTCTCTCTCCCTCTCCCCAAAGCCCCTAAATCTCACCCTCAGTGCCAGCAGAGCA